AACTTTCACACAAAGCAATAAATATACACTTACTGGGACTTTTTTAACCAAACACATGTAGCAGAATACATTTTGGTCTAAGTTTATGACGACATTTTCGTTTTTTTTTTTGGATATTTTTTATGACTGAAATGAGAAAGTATTGTTTTTTTTTCAAAATCTTTTTTTCTTCAAATTTTTTTTTGTTTATAGCGCCAAAAAAAGCGCACACGTAATCAAATACCACCAAAAGAAAGCTCTATTTGTGTGAAAAAAAGGACATAAATTTCATTTATGTACTGTATTGCATGACCACGCAATTATCCGTTAAACTAGTGCAGCGCTGTATAGCAAAAAAATGGCGTAAATTGCAGTATCTATACCATAGTTTGTAGACTCTATAACTTTCACACAAAGCAATCAATATACACTTATATGGATTTTTTTTTACCAAAAACATGTAGCAGAATACATTTTGGTCTAAATTTATAACTAACTTTGAGTTTACTATATATTTTTTATAGCTGAAATAAAAAATATAATTTTTCTTCAAAATTTTCGGTCTTTTTTTGTTTATAGCATGAAAAATAAAAAGTGCACAGGTGATCAAATACCACCAAGCGAAAGCTCTATTTGTGTGAAAAAAAGGACGTAAATTTCGTTTGGGTGCAGCACTGCATGACCTCGCAATTATCAGTTGAATTAGTGCAGCGCCGAGTAGCAAAAAGAGGCCTGGTCAGGAAGGGGGGTAAATCCTCAGGAGGGCAAGTGGTTAAACCAGATGGCTCTTTAAAGTGACCAAAGATTCGTTGGATTGGTTTAAAATCAGGAGACTCCAAGAACACCTCAGTCTTCAGTAACCCCTGGTTCACATCTGTGGGGTCGTTCAGGCTGCGATTTGCATGGGCATGAGAGCCCATTCATTCATTTCAACCAAGGTTCCCAGTACGGTTGTGATTTTCAGTGCGGGAAGCATGCCTTTAGAATTAATGGCACGTGCCTGCGGGTCCGACATTTCTCTGTGTGGTTAGTGTGGTTGCCGGTATTTGTGCGGGTTCCACCAGCACCACCCGCACAGATGTGAACCGGGGTAATGATGTGGCAGATTCAAGCAATGATTACATTTATTGGCCAGTATAGTGCTAAGTGAGTGATCAAAAATACACAATTGTCAAAATTTAATACATCGTTGTAACTGGACAATTTTGTAGTTATAAATCTTATTAAATTATTTGCACTCTCAAAATTAGAGATTTAAAAGGCACCCCATTATTATTGTGAAAATGGATGCAACAGAGGACTCTTTTTTTAAGTTAGAAGAATTAATTGATGCCTGCCTTGTTTGCTGGCAAATTTGCACTGTTGAAGAGTTTGTTTTGTGCATCATTTGCCTACGGGTTACATCTATACCATGCAAGTAAATTTTCATTTTAATTCTACTGGTTTTCATCCCTGGAAAGCACATTTTATTGGACATTTTTTGCTATACTGCACTGCACTACTTTAACTGGTAATTTTTTTTTTAACAAATAGCTTTCTTTTGGCAGTATTTGATCACCTCTTAATTTTTTTTTTTTTTTTTTTACAATGAAAAAAGCTAAAACTCTTCAGAAAAACCTCAATATTGTTTTACTTTCTGCTATTAAACATATCCAAAAAAATTAAATCAAATTTCTTTATAAATTTTGTCCTAAATGTATTTTGCTACATGTAAAAACAAAATCCCAATAAGCGTATATTGATTGGTTTGCAAGAAAGTTATAGCATTTACAAACTATGGTATATAAACTGGAATATTTATTTATTTAGTTATTTATTATACTACTAATGGTGGTGATCAGCAACTTAGAACTGGACTGTGATAGTGCGACGGGCAATCTGACACTAACTGATGCCGGGGAGAACTGGCTAACTTTACATTAATGCAGTGATCAGTGATAAAACTGATGTGAATATGCAATACATATGAAAAGCACTCTGTAAATTGTTGGCGCTATATAATGAAGAGCTACCTTCGTGAAGGCATTTTTCGCACTTTCATCCACAGACAATGAACAGTCTATGAGCTTGGTTTTGTTATTTTATTAGGGGGAAATAACTTGGATAGGGAAATAGGGATTATGGGATGCCCAGTTTGGCTTGAATCAATGAAGGGGGGGGCAACTTCCTTTCTATGTACAGAAACAGATCCTGGACTGTTCTTTTCCTTGAAAGCTGTCAGTCTTTGTGGATCAGTAGCAACAACCCTTTACAGGTGAGGACCTAGCAGTCCCTCAGAATCAGCTTAGCTTCTTGTAACTACATGCAGAGATGTCTCCTCTCCCCCTGTAGAACAGCTCCCAGATTCACAGCCGTCAACATTACCAACACTACCAGCCTTCTTGGCTGCTCTGAAGATTGAGCCCAACGCTGTCCTTTGAAAGCAGGTCTTGATCCCATTCATGCTGCACTGCTAAATGTATCCTCCTGAGCCAGCCCGAGCCCAGCCCCCCCCCCCAGAGCTAGGGGACCCCCTCCCAGGCACTGACAGTCTCCTCAGCACTCCATCTTCCACCCAATTCCCTCTGTCAGTCTGACTCTCCAATAGTTATGAGCCAGTCCACCATTCTACCAGGGCCTCCAAACCTGGGATTGGCCAGACTCCCATAAACATGTAGATTAGGTCTCCACCCCTTCCTGCTTACCGAATTCTGGAAGGTTCTATGGCGCTCCAGAGTCAGGAGGATGTGATCGAGCTACAGCCTGTTAAGTCATCCAGCTGATGTGAAATAACCCGACCTCAATGACAGACCCACACAGTTAACATGAGTCATACACAATGATTTTTCCTGTAACACATTACACTATTCTAGTAGCACACTAGAATCTGATAATATTGTTGCTTGTAACAAAATGCCTGTAGCTCAAAAAAGTACATGTGGTTCTTTTCAGACAGATTGGAGCTTTGTTGGCTCCAAAGACTTCAATGGGAATGCCTAACATGAGACATAAGCTTTTACGTGCATATTGTGGTGCATTTTTTAACCATAAAGCAGCTCTCCACCCCTAATCCCCCTAGTGCTTTCTATTGGCTAAAACAAAACACATGAAGCTTGAATACACATGTAAAACACTTGTAATACACTTCTAAAATGCTTGTATATACAGTCAGGTCCATAAATATTGGGACACCGACACAATTCTACAATTGAGAGTTCACAGCAACATATTCCAAATGCAAATAGCACACTTGAATAAACTCTGGACCTTTTATCTGCTCATTGTAATTGGGATAATGAGGGAATAACCCACACCTGGCCATGGAACAGCTGAGAAGCCAATTGTCCCATTACTTTTGGTCCCTTAACAAGTGGGAGGCACATATGCAAACTGTTGTAATTCCTACACCGTTCACCTGATTTGGATGTAAATACCCTCAAATTAAAGCTGACAGTCTACAGTTAAAGCACATCTTGTTTGTTTCATTTCAAATCCATTGTGGTGGTTAGAGATGATTGCGAATTATTAAAAAATTTGATTCGGCTGATTCGGCGAATTCGCGGAATAAATTTGATTCGAGTCGAATATATTCGCTGCAAATTTAACTTATAAAAAGGGTGTTTCTAGGCTTCAGAGAGCCTTTATATTAGTGCAGAACACTGTACCTTTAATTTAAATGCCCTTGGAGTCTGCTGGGGAAGAGAAATAATACTGTCAGTCAGTATGACATGCAGATGAGTGCCGTCGATCTTAGAATCACCGCACACTTCACTCATTTGGGCAGTCACGGGGCCAAAACCAGAGTGTGGAGCCACAGTGTGGAGGTGGAGGCAGCAGCAATGGGAGGCCATACAGCACCCTATGACAAAATGGAACCCACCAGCAGTGTGAGGAGACCTGAAAGTGGCACATGGCAGAGTGTGGCAATGGAGACAGCAGCAATGGGAGGCCGTACAGGGACCCATGACACACTCTGGACCTGCAGCAGCATGAGGAGGCGGTACAGGGGCCCATGACAGATTACGGGCCTGGCAGCAGCATGAGGAGTCGGTACGGGGGCCCATGGCAGATTACGGGCCTGGCAGCAGCAATGGGAGGCCCGTAATCTGCCAGCACCCTATGACAAAATGGAACCCACCAGCAGTGTGAGGAGACCTGAAAGTGGCACATGGCAGAGTGTGGCGATGGAGACAGCAGCAATGGGAGGCCGTACAGGGACCCATGACACACTCTGGACCTGGCAGCAGCAAGAGGAGGCGGTACAGGGGCCCATGGCAGATTACGGGCCTGGCAGCAGCAATGGGAGGCCGTACAGGGACCCATGACACACTCTGGACCTGGCAGCAGCATGAGGAGGCGGTACAGGGGCCCATGACAGATTACGGGCCTGGCAGCAGCATGAGGAGTCGGTACGGGGACCCATGGCAGATTACGGGCCTGGCAGCAGCATGGGAGGCCATACAGCACCCTATGACAAAATGGAACCCACCAGCAGTGTGAGGAGACCTGAAAGTGGCACATGGCAGAGTGTGGCGATGGAGACAGCAGCAATGGGAGGCCGTACAGGACCCATGACACAGTCTGGACCTGGCAGCAGCATGAGGAGGCGGTACAGGGGCCCATGACAGATTACGGGCCTGGCGCAGCATGAGGAGTCGGTACGGGGGCCCATGGCAGATTACGGGCCTGGCAGCAGCAATGGGAGGCCCGTAATCTGCCAGCACCCTATGACAAAATGGAACCCACCAGCAGTGTGAGGAGACCTGAAAGTGGCACATGGCAGAGTGTGGCGATGGAGACAGCAGCAATGGGAGGCCGTACAGGGACCCATGACACACTCTGGACCTGGAAGCAGCATGAGGAGGCGGTAAAGGGGCCCATGACAGATTACGGGCCTGGCAGCAGCATGAGGAGTCGGTACGGGGGCCCATGGCAGATTACGGGCCTGGCAGCAGCAATGGGAGGCTGTACAGGGACCCATGACACACTCTGGACCTGGCAGCAGCATGAGGAGGCGGTACAGGGGCCCATGACAGATTACGAGCCTGGCAGCAGCATGAGGAGTCGGTACGGGGGCCCATGGCAGATTATGGCCTGGCAGCAGCAATGGAGGCCGTACAGGGACCCATGACACACTCTGGACCTGGCAGCAGCATGAGGAGGCGGTACAGGGGCCCATGACAGATTACGGGCCTGGCAGCAGCATGAGGAGTCGGTACGGGGGCCAATGGCAGATTACGGGCCTGGCAGCAGCAATGGGAGGCCGTACAGGGACCCATGACACACTCTGGACCTGGCAGCAGCATGAGGAGGCGGTACAGGGGCCCATGACAGATTACGGGCCTGGCAGCAGCATGAGGAGTCGGTACGGGGGCCCATGGCAGATTTACGGGCCTGGCAGCAGCAATGGGAGGCCCGTAATCTGCCAGCACCCTATGACAAAATGGAACCCACCAGCAGTGTGAGGAGACCTGAAAGTGGCACATGGCAGAGTGTGGCGATGGAGACAGCAGCAATGGGAGGCCGTACAGGGACCCATGACACACTCTGGACCTGGCAGCAGCAAGAGGAGGCGGTACAGGGGCCCATGGCAGAGTGGCGAAGCGTAAGCAGCTTAAATTGAAGGCCATAAGGGGCCTATGTTAAAAATAATAACATGTTGGGGCATGATTCATGGCGGATTTAGTCAGTTGTGTCAGGAACTGGTGGTTTGAAATCCAGACTAATCCACGCCTGATTCATTTTCACAAACGTGAGTCTCTCCACACTTTGGGTGGACAGTCGTGTCCTCCGGAGTTACAATACCTCCTGCCGCACTAAACACGCGCTCCGATGCCACGCTACTGGCCGGGCATGACAGCCTTTCAAGGGCAAATTCAGCTAGTTGGGGCCAAAGGTCAAGTTTCGTTGCCCAGTAGTCAAGGGGGATTGTCTACCTCGGTTGGCAGGGTGCTGTCTAAGTAGGCCCAAGCCTGTTGTTTGAGGTCCTGCTCCAGGTCCACCTGATGCTGCTGCTGCTGCGGCTGTTTAGTAGTTTCCTCACTGCGCTGGTGAAGAAAGCTACTCATCATCGACTGCAGACTGAGGCAGCCGCTGCTGGTGGAGCTGCCGCTGCTCCTACCACCCCACCCCTCCCCTGCTGCCATGGCAGCGGAACGCGAGCGCACAGGGCCCACAGTGTCTGAGGATGGACGTTGGCGCAGAAAGGCAGAGACCAACTGACTACATAGGTGGTTTTTATAGTACTTTATTTGGCCTCCCTCTCAACAGGTGTGAAAAAGGCCACCATTTTTGAACGGTAGCGAGGGTCCAACAAGGTGGACAGCCAAAAGTCATCCCTCTGTCTGATGGTTATTATTCGGCTGTCGCTACGCAAGCAACCGAGCATGCTATGGGCCATTTGTGCCAAGGAATGCGAGGGACTCCCTGCCTCCATCTCCACAGCATACTGCCACGGTGCGTCTGGGTCCTCTGTCTCCTCCTCCTCCTCTACCAGATGCTCCTGCTCCTCCACTCCTGTCCGCTGAGTGGAAAAAACCACCCATTTCATTCAATAATTCCTGAGCACCAATGTCCTCCTCTACCTCCTGCTCTTCTTCCTGTCCTGCCCCCACAGGGGTCATGTGGCGTTGAGATCTGTGCGCCACGTCTACCGCACCCTGACCAGCCATTGTTAACAGCATTTGTTCCAGGACGTGCAACAGAGGAATGACGTCGTTCATCCCATAGTCCTGCCGACTCACGAATAGCGTGGCCTCCTCAAAGGGCCTGAGCAAGCGGCAGGTGTCACGCATGAGCTGCCAATGGCTGACATCTAAGTTACACAGGGGAGTACCTTTATCCGCTTGTAACATCAGGAAATCGGTGATGGCCTTTCGCTGTTTGTAAAGGCGGTCTAACATATGTAGGGTTGAATTCCACCTTGTTGCAACGTCACAGCATGAGGAGTCGGTACGGGGGCCCATGGCAGATTACGGGCCTGGCAGCAGCAATGGGAGGCCCGTAATCTGCCAGCACCCTATGACAAAATGGAACCCACCAGCATGTGTGAGGAGACCTGAAAGTGGCACATGGCAGAGTGTGGCGATGGAGACAGCAGCATGAGGAGGCCGTACAGGGACCCATGACACACTCTGGACCTGGCAGCAGCATGAGGAGGCGGTACGGGGGCCCATGACAGATTACGGGCCTGGCAGCAGCAATGGGATGCCCGTAATCTGCCAGCACCCTATGACAAAAATGGAACCCACCAGCAGTGTGAGGAGACCTGAAAGTGGCACATGGCAGAGTGTGGCGATGGAGACAGCAGCAATGGGAGGCCGTACAGGGACCCATGACACACTCTGGACCTGGCAGCAGCATGAGGAGGCGGTACAGGGGCCCATGACAGATTACGGGCCTGGCAGCAGCAATGGGAGGCCCGTAATCTGCCAGCACCCTATGACAAAATGGAACCCACCAGCAGTGTGAGGAGACCTGAAAGTGGCACATGGCAGAGTGTGGCGATGGAGACAGCAGCAATGGGAGGCCGTACAGGGACCCATGACACACTCTGGACCTGGCAGCAGCATGAGGAGGCGGTACAGGGGCCCATGACAGATTACGGGCCTGGCAGCAGCAATGGGAGGCCCGTAATCTGCCAGCACCCTATGACAAAATGGAACCCACCAGCAGTGTGAGGAGACCTGAAAGTGGCACATGGCAGAGTGTGGCGATGGAGACAGCAGCAATGGGAGGCCGTATAGGGACCCATGACACACTCTGGACCTGGCAGCAGCATGAGGAGGCGGTACAGGGGCCCATGACAGATTACGGGCCTGGCAGCAGCAATGGGAGGCCCGTAATCTGCCAGCACCCTATGACAAAATGGAACCCACCAGCAGTGTGAGGAGACCTGAAAGTGGCACATGGCAGAGTGTGGCGATGGAGACAGCAGCAATGGGAGGCCGTACAGGGACCCATGACACACTCTGGACCTGGCAGCAGCATGAGGAGGCGGTACAGGGGCCCATGACAGATTACGGGCCTGGCAGCAGCATGAGGAGTCGGTACGGGGGCCCATGGCAGATTACGGGCCTGGCAGATGACGACGAGGCTGCCAAGTGCGATCAGCCTCATCATCATCAATTAGGGTCTCCGCCTCACTACTAGCCCCCTCGGCTGCGTGTGGGTCAGGAGACAGACCATTCTCTAGACCGGTTACCGAGCCACTCTCCTCGCCAGTACTTCTTCGCCTGGCTGCTGAAGAGGCAGATGTCTCCCCCCGTTCCTGACCGCCCTCTGTTAGCTCTTCCTCACTGTACAGTGGGGCTGAGCCCACAGCATGTGATACTTCGCTTGGTGAGGGAACACCAAAGGACAGGGGCAGGTAGAGGACACATGATTTCAGTGGGCTTGCTCCCGGGCCATGCCAACTAACGGTTGTGTCTGATGTACCCACCGACCGTTGGCTGTAGGTGTCAGAGGTGACCTGGGAAGAGGAAGACGACCGAGCCAACCAATCGATGACGGCAGGGTTGTCGGTGGAGACACGACTGCTGGATGACACCGGGAGCACTGGCCTCTGGCTGCGACTAGTGCTGCCTCGACCCCTTCCTCTGCTGCCAACGTCTGCTCGCTCCTGAAACATTGCCTCCTCTGCCACTCCTCTGCGTGTTGTCTGATATACTCTTTAATTCAACGATTCTGTGTCCCTGAGTAATGATTCTGTGTCCCTGAGTAACAATTCTGTGTCCCTGAGTAACAATTCTGTGTCCCTGAGTAACGATTCTGTGTCCCCGAGTAACGATTCTGTGTCCCTCAGTAACAATTCTGTGTCCCTGAGTAACAATTCTGTGTCCCTGAGTAACAATTCTGTGTCTGTCCCTGAGTAACAATTCTGTGTCCCTGAGTAACAATTCTGTGTCCCTGAGTAACAATTCTGTGTCTGTCCCCGAGTAACAATTCTGTGTCCCTGAGTAACAAATCTGTGTCCCTGAGTAACAATTTTGTGTCCCTGAGTAACGATTCTGTGTCCTTGAGTAACGATTCTGTGTCCCTCAGTAACAATTCTGTGTCCCTGAGTAACAATTCTGTGTCCCTGAGTAACAATTCTGTGTCCCTGAGTAACGATTCTGTGTCCCTGAGTAACGATTCTGTGTCCCTCAGTAACGATTCTGTGTCCCTGAGTAACAATTCTGTGTCCCTGAGTAACAATTCTGTGTCCCTGAGTAACGATTCTGTGTCCCTCAGTAACGATTCTGTGTCCCTGAGTAACAATTCTGTGTCCCTGAGTAACAATTCTGTGTCCCTGAGTAACGATTCTGTGCCCCTGAGTAACGATTCTGTGTCCCTCAGTGACGATTCTGTGTCCCTGAGTGACGATTCTGTGTCTGTCCCTGAGTAACAATTCTGTGCCCCTGAGTAACAATTCTGTGTCCCTGAGTAACGATTCTGTGTCCCTGAGTAACAATTCTGTGTCCCTGAGTAACGATTCTGTGTCCCTGAGTAACGATTCTGTGTCCCTGAGTAACGATTCTGTGTCCCTGAGTAACGATTCTGTGTCCCTCAGTAACGATTCTGTGTCCCTGAGTAACGATTCTGTGTCCCTGAGTAACAATTCTGTGTCCCTGAGTAACGATTCTGTGTCCCTGAGTAACGATTCTGTGTCCCTCAGTAACAATTCTGTTTCCCTGAGTAACGATTCTGTGTCCCTGAGTAACGATTCTGTGTCCCTGAGTAACGATTCTGTGTCCCTCAGTAACGATTCTGTGTCCCTCAGTAACAATTCTGTGTCCCTGAGTAACAATTCTGTGTCCCTGAGTAACAATTCTGTGTCTGTCCCTGAGTAAACAATTCTGTGTCCCTGAGTAACAATTCTGTGTCCCTGAGTAACGATTCTGTGTCCCTCAGTAACAATTCTGTGTCCCTCAGTAACAATTCTGTGTCCCTGAGTAACAATTCTGTGTCCCTGAGTAACAATTCTGTGGCCCTGAGTAACGATTCTGTGTCCCTGAGTAACGATTCTGTGTCCCTGAGTAACGATTCTGTGTCCCTCAGTAACGATTCTGTGTCCCTGAGTAACAATTCTGTGTCCCTGAGTAACGATTCTGTGTCCCTGAGTAACGATTCTGTGTCCCTGAGTAACGATTCTGTGTCCCTGAGTAACAATTCTGTGTCTGTCCCTGAGTAACAATTCTGTGTCCCTGAGTAACAATTCTGTGGCCCTGAGTAACGATTCTGTGTCCCTCAGTAACAATTCTGTGTCCCTCAGTAAGAATTCTGTGTCCCTCAGTAACGATTCTGTGTCCCTGAGTAACAATTCTGTGTCCCTGAGTAACAATTCTGTGTCCCTGAGTAACAATTCTGTGTCTGTCCCTGAGTAACAATTCTGTGTCCCTGAGTAACAATTCTGTGTCCCTGAGTAACATTTCTGTGTCCCTGAGTAACAATTCTGTGTCTGTCCCTGAGTAACAATTCTGTGTCCCTGAGTAACAATTCTGTGTCCCTCAGTAACGATTCTGTGTCCCTCAGTAACAATTCTGTGTCCCTGAGTACAAATTCTGTGTCCCTGAGTAACATTTCTGTTTCTGTCCCTGAGTAACAATTCTGTGTCCCTGAGTAACAATTCTGTGTCCCTGAGTAACGATTCTGTGTCCCTAAGTAACGATTCTGTGTCCCTAAGTAACGATTCTGTGGCCCTAAAGTCTCTCTGGCCCTAACTCTGTCCCTAATACAGACAGGTCTGTCTCTCTTGAATGACCGGAGGCTAATGGAGAATTGTAAGATGGCCGCAATTTATAGCTCCACCATTACACAGTGCTGGCTGGCTGGCTGCTGATTGGCTAATGCGATCACATGTCATGAATGAATGCATTATGGGTCTGCGCGCCTTCCCAGAGATCCCCGCTCCGTCGACACACATGTCGTTGCCATTTTTGGGAAAATTCGATTCGTGCATCCGAAGTCTGCTAATGTTCGGATTCGGCGCGAATCGAATTTTTCCTGATATTCGAAACGAATTCCACTTCGCCATGTTCGATTCGCTCATCTCTAGTGGTGGTGTATAGAGCCATAAATGTTTGAATTGTGTCGATGTCCCAATATTTATGGACCTGACTGTACTTGCAAAACTCTCAAATAAAAACTCCAGAAAAACCACTCTGCCCAGGTATGAATGCACCAGTGATGTGCAAATCTGGTTGGGTTTGATTTAAAGGCAGGTTCAGCAAACATGTCCAAAATCTGTAAACTTTAATATGAATAACATTTTCAAGGCTGATAGGCAAGGGATTATCTAACATAAAGCATGGGGAGTTGGATGCTGCTAGGGAGAGCATGTATGGAGAACCCTCCTAGACAGGTGCTAGGATAAGTAGATTATAGTTGGTTCCTCTGCTTAACAGGAGAACCTTTAGGAAAATCTAATTAGGCTTTCTGCTTAACAGAGAGCTGTAAGTTTTAGTATTGCTTGCTCAGCTTGTTCAAGTGCTGCTAGTTCTACCCCTGGGTTCCTCTGTATCCAAGTAATCTAGGAAGGTTCTGGATGTATAGGTGGAACTCAAGCATAACACAGTATGAATATTAATGTCACTCCAGCCAATCACAGGGAGTGCTTCTCTGAAGGATACTGGGAGAAGTGTTTTATTATTTGGGAATACTGAGTCTTGGGCCTTTTCTGGAGAGGATTGCACCAGCCTGGGGGATGGCACACTGCCTCCCCAGGCACCTGCTGCCATGTGGCCTCAGGTGAGCTACATAAGGGCCTGAAGTAAGAGAGAGAGTGACCTTGGTTCTTCAGTAAGCTAACTGAGGGGAGCTGTTTGCCAAAGATCTGTCTGGAAAAAAAAATATTAGGTTTCCTCTAAAATACATACTGGGCCTTTCCTGGAGAAGATTGCACCAGCCTGGTGGATGGCACTCTGCCTCCCCAGGCACCTGCTGCCATGCGGCCGCAGGTGAGTATGGTTCAGGATGTGGGGGGCATTCTTAGATATATGTTTATTATGGGTTTGGGGAAGGACGGGCACTTATTTTTTTCAGCAATCCATGCCAGATGTTTATCTGGGCATTTACTTTGTTTTTCTTTGCACTGTAACCACCTGGTAAGTGAATAATAATTGGTGCTGCGCTAATAATAATAAATATATATAAAAATAGTCAAGGAAATTAATATAGTCAAGAAAAATATTCCTCACAACATAAACTTATAAAAATTAAATCACAAAAAATAAATGTAGAATAGAATACACATGAAAATATCCAAAATAATGGATAACAGTGAAAATACACCCAAAAGTATATATAAAAGGTGTATCCTAGGTACACTATTAATAGTAAATAGGTGACTATGGGTGAAAATCCTTAATAACCATACATGGTGCCAACATAGTGATAAGATCCACA